AATCCTGGGGGCCGCTCCATAACACCATGGATTTTGAGCGTACTTGATTGGCTATCGACAACTCAGGCCAGCAGATATAGAACACGGTGTGTTTTAAGAATCGCCCCAAGCTCTGTACCATAAATAGTAAACTGAAGAGCCATGTTCCTGGGGACCTTTCGACCCTCCCAAACGTTTTCGCAAAAAAAACAAAAACACGAAAAACAAAAACGAAACAACAATCTCTCCGCAAATAAAACTAAAAAAACTTGTAGAATACATACAGCATGACCGTCGAGGTTTACCTTGTCATCCCGCATGTAGTAGACGACCCCCCTTCTGTAGCTGGCTTTCCGATTGTCCTCCCCGTAGTCCAACCACACGCCCATCGTTCGCAAGCTGCATCATCCCGAGCGAAACAACAAACAACACGCCGCGAAAGGATAAAGAGCTCCTTATAATAAATACATTTACCACACTTCGTAGCCGGAGGAAAAAAACAAAAACAAGGAAAAAAAGAACTTCAAAAAACACTATACGCTATGGATTCAGTGCTACTCTCTCTTGGCTAATAGATAGAGATGGATTCGTTGTGTCATACTAAGAAAAGAGAAAACTTGTGTGACTCGAAAGCATTTCTCATACAACATACGCTAGCTGATGGTGTTCGTTGATCCGGCAGGTCTCTCGACGCCTGGACCCGCTCTTTGCGAGTTGTGTCCGGACAATGATCATAGTTGCCGGGCAAAATTAAAATCGTGAGAGAGAAAAGGTGCCCGCAGTTTTCTGATTGGTCCATTTTTTGTAGAGGAATTTTCCTTTCGTCGAAAATTCCGTCGTCGAGTGGTGACGTCACCCGCGGTCATGAGGGCGTATATTAACGACCGGGACCATCGGGCCTCCTGAAAAAATAACACTCAAGGGCCGAGGCCCTCTAGACACCACCCCATGCCATCAGCATCCCTCGTGTGACCCGAGAAACGGAAAAGCCTCCAACATTTTTTTTCGCGCTCACCTCGGATCTACGTCCCCTAACCCCTCCATGACGACGCCGCATGCCGCCAAGTTAGACCGCCAGAACGGAACGTGGTCGTAGAAACGAGGGTGCGGGGCGGGGGGAGGCCTGAACCGGGCGGGCGACGCACAAGAAGAAAACACATCCGAAAATCAGAAATTTGCGACAGAAACACGCACGGAATCTCGGACTAAAAAAACGTAAATATGGGTCAAACGGCCAACAGACCTTTTCTAAGGGAGGGGTAAGGAGAGGAGAAGACAAAGGAAGCCTTGATGGGCTTAGAGAAACAGCACGCTCAGTCAGCGGTGATAAAAAAAAGGGACAGGAAAAAACAAGGCGTAAACAAGACTGTCGAACGCGTGCAACCAACCGAAACATTGAAATAAAGCAACGAAAAAGAAAAAAAAACGCTGCCGGAGAGGACAGTTGCGGTGCGGCGCGGGGGAAGGCCTGGACCGGGCGGGCGACACACAACAAGAAAGACATTCGAAAAAACCCCAGCAGTTTGCAACAGAAACACGATCTCTCTAAAAAAAAAAAGTGTAAGCGGCGACAACAGACCCCCGTGAAGGGGGGCGACAGGGAGGACATGACAAAGGGAGACTTAATGGACTTGGAGAACAGGACACACCGTGGTAAGTGGTGACCAAAATACCCCTTCCGGAGGAGAAGAAGAGCAAAAAACTCAACAAGAAAAACATGGTAAAATTACGCTTCCCCACGCGTGCGTAACCAACCCGACATTCATTGCAAAAAAAAAGCATCAAAAAAAGAATAAAATAATCGCTGCCGGTGGGGACGAGTTGGACGGGATCGTGCAAACGACGCAGCACACAAAAAGCAAGCTCCGGCAACGGAGCCAAAAAGCGCAACACACAACAGTGGCACGCACGCGTGTTCGAGGGTGTGTGTATCCTTCCTGCACCTGGCAAACACCTCAGGGAGCAGAGTAGCCTTACACAGGACACCGCTTACCCCTTTCTCCGTGGCGATGCCGACGGCGACGCTGACGGCGTCGACGAACCCGCGGGCTCGTGGTCGTTCTCGGCAGCCGTTAGGGTCGCGGCCATGTTGTACCCTGCCGATCGATCGCAGAGAAGGTCGATCGAATCGATCACACACAAGTCCGACAACGAAGTCCGACAACGAAAGACACAAAAATAGGAAAGAACAGAACGTCTGCGTTGTCCTTGGGGTTCGCGCGGGGTGGGGCGCTTCGTTTCGCACCTATGTTTTCCCGTGCGACAAACGATTCGCATGCGCATCAGGCAGCCAGCCTGATGGAGCGGCGCACACAACAAACAGCGGCAACGCGATTTGAAACGAAAGCAACCAGCGTACCCGTCCCCCCCCCCCCGCCCGCTAGCCCGCCCGCCCGCCCGCCCGCCCTGGCACCAAGAGACAGTCAGACTACTTGCGCGGCAGGCAGGCCACCACAACATTCCTCACCACGGTGCGGCTACAACGACGCGGCACGCTCGTCGTAAAGATCGTCTTGCCAAGTTAGTCGATGGCACAACTTCACCGTCCGCATCCCTATCATGTCTCCTTTCCAGGTGGACACTCGTTTTGAATGAACCCCATGACATCTCCTTTCAGTTCAACTATTTATGTGCCAGGCATGCTTCACCTCCGTGCTGTCTGCGGGTACTCTCACGTTCGTCGTGCACCATTCATACGTACGTCTTCCGCAGGTACAACTTGATCGATAGCAAACGCCCCCCCCTACACCCTTAGCAGGATGCGGCGCCCCCTTCATGCGACTCACTTGCCGAATACCTCACGGTGCTTCGCGCTTGGGTGATGTGAGTCTGGTCCGGTGAGAACCCGGCGTGCTCCGTCCCGGCTATGTAGGGATGCGAGTTCAATGGTCTAACGACTACGGCATGCACGACTATGAGCACACCCTCCCCCCCCCCCTCCCCCCCTACTAGGCTAGCGCACGGTGTTGCTACATACCAATGGGAACCTCAGAGCAACTAACAAGTCCCCGTGCTAAAGGATACGTTTTCGGACCGACCGAACATTCTAGCGAGCAGGAAGGCTGTTACAACGGCCGCTGACCTACAGACACCCAACAACAACAACAGCACGCATTGCAAAAACAAAATCAAGAACCTCTCACCCGCGTAGAGCCCCGAGTTGACGCAATGGTCGTGGCTCGCGATGCGCCGCCTCCCCTTCCCCCTCCCCAGGTTGGGGTCGAAGAACGACGCCGCACCACCGGCCGCGTAGACCCCGTTGACGGCCTCGAACAACCCGTTCACCACGATCCCGCCATTTCTCTGCAAGTTTTCGTCCGCGACCGAACCGGAACATAACACACCGGCGACAGGCAGTTACATACCAGATCAGCATCGTCGCCCGACGTTCGTAACCCCCATCTTCACACACCACGGGGCAAGGCAGATACCGCACATGACACGAGATAACACATCCCCTGGACCATTTTTCAAACATCGATTACGCCACGACGAAGAGGATGCATAAATGAAAAAAATACATTTTCGGACAGCTCTCGACGAGACAGCTTCAAAGCCACCGTTTTTGGCGCCGTGACTGTTTCTGCTTTTGAGAAATCGAGATTCGAAAATCGGTCCAGGGGTGTGTGTTATCCTGTGTCATGTACGGTAAAAATTTTGGCACACAACGGTGGAGGAGCAACAGGTGTATCGGGAGTACCGTGGTAGTACCACAAGTACAGCAGTCGTGACTTCGCTTAAGGACACCAAAAGTAAGGAAACTCCCTGGGTTGAGGACTACTCTTTCTTCACGGGCATGGTCGCTCGCATGCATAATAAGGATGGGGGGTATCAACCTTGAGGACATTTCCCTGGCTTGTACATGCGGTAACGGTTGAATGCATTTCAAGCACATGTCGTAATAGTGCGTGCCTATGTATAATGGGAGTGTCAAGGCTAAAAACTCACAGACACAACCAACAAACAAAAAACACAGAGAGACGGATTTAATTCCTACGTGAGAACCCCATCCATCCATCAATCCATCCATCCTGCACACCTCGTCGATCTCGAGACCGCTGTCGCTGGCCACTTCGACACCAGGGTCCACGTCAGTGGAAGCCACCACGACGTAGTCCGTTTCCAGGCCCACCTTCCCGTCGTCTCCGCCTACGACGTGCTTCGCGCCTTCTCGTTCTTGTTCTTCCAAGCGTTTTGTTTTCGAGTTGTACCTGAGCCCCAGACACACGGGCAAAAAAAAAAAAAAAAAACAGAAACAAATGAGCACAGAGCGCGAGTACTCTGCAGCTAAAAGCAGTGACTGACGGTGCTGATGATGGCCACGCTGGAACCGTCTAGTCGAGGAAATTCAAAAACAACTCAGGTTTGGACTGCTGTGGCATCCTCTTCGTGGAGTAATCGAGCTATTACTAAGGGCGTGGTATGCTGAGCTACCTACGGTTAGATATATATATGCATGTCTGAACGCGTTCAAAGGGTGATTACACTTGACGATAGTGTCAGCGGTGTGTATAGATGGACTCCCTACACATGAAAGTCGCGTTTTTGTGCCGCCCATACTTGACAAGTCATGCTGTCATTTGCTGTTGATGGTGACAAGAGAACACCTTTTCTTCTCGCCTCTCGTGCATGGTGAAAAAATTCACAGCACCATGATACCTCACAAAGCATGTTTTCATTGTCATTGCTATTTATCGACTCGGGAATTACACTTTCGATATCGGTGCTGAACAACAAACACCACACGCGGCACCTCCCTCTACAACTAGGCGCCACGACATCTGCAACAGAACCAACAAGCGAGCACCTCAAGTCTGCTAGACGAGTGTCGGCCACGGCAGCTACCCCGGCCTTGGCGAGCTCCCCCCGCAGGTGTTCGGCCAGGTAGTCGGGCAGCACGTGCCCCATGGGATTTCTCTCTGAATAGACCTAAACTCAACAAACACCGGCAGAAACAACAACAGCAGCAGCAGTAGCAGCAGCAGAGGTGCACTGGTGTAAAAGACAAATTTGCGCGCAGGCAGGCAAGATGATTTTCGAGAACTGCATGAGAATGTGCGCTTGTCCTCGCTTGGCTGGCCGTCTTAACTCGACTGGCCGTACTAAAACCAACTGGTATTGTTCAACCGAGTGAATGGTCCTCCCAACTCGACTGGCCTTGCACTAAAACCACCTGGCTGGCCGAACTCGGCGTGGCCGGCGAGGACGCAATTGTGTGGCACCCCGCCCACGCCCACCCGGCAACAGCCAACAACACCACCTCTGCTGCTCCCACCTAGACCATACTCCGACTCCATTTTCAAGCAAAAACGCCTTCAAGAAGAAAACCGCACAAGTCCCGAGATTCAGAGGGTAGGGCGCGCCAGCACCCAAAACAACAGGGTAATGCGTGTGCCGCCACCCGTTTGTCGCTTTCTTCTTCGCTTTCTACAACATGTACAGCAGTACTCGCCTGGGAGATGGCCACCCCCGTCGCCCGGCCTCGCTCCGCCAGCGCCAACGCCACCTGGCACCCTAGAAACCCTCCCCCGAGGACAGAAACGTGCTTGACGGACGGGTCGTTCTGCACGCGAGGGGACGCGCAGAAGGCAGCAGCGTCGCCCACGGTGTGAGCAAAACAGCAGCAGCACAAGCAGCACTAGTCTCGAAAATATCGTCAGCTTTTTAGACGCAAAAAAAACATACAGACAACACTAGCTCCCGGAACAGAATGTCCTAAACCAGCAGCTGGCAGTGTTGCCCAATCGTACGTCTAGCAGTCCCTGTGCTCCAGCACTGCTGATGCTTCAACGTGATCGGGCGCAAACGGAATGTCCTGCGAGCAGCTGCCTTATCTCGGCGCGCATGCCTCCTCTCCTGCAAGCACGCAGACATACTCTTTGCCATATAATATAAATGCCCACTTCTTCTACCAACTCCAATAAACCCCAATTTCAGACTCCTCCCCCCTTCGGTAGGATCCATCTGAAATATTCGCTTTTTAGACGCAAAAAAAGCATACAGAAGCAGGCCTACATTGGTATTGCTCAAGGGTCCCGGTACGCACAACTTGAATGATATCTCCTGCACCTGTCGATTCACAAAACGTGCTACATATTGAATGAACGCTGCTTTAAAGAGCTTTCGAATGAATCTACTTTCGTCCTGTGCAGCGGCGTGCCGGACAACTGCCTTCGGGCGTTGAGAATTCAGTGATGCCAGCCATGGAAGCGAAATTGCAAATATCTTCCATGCAAACCCGGTTATTGGGTCAGCTCCCAATATTAGGTAGGAGCAACAATGCAAGCCCTCTCTTGCCGCTCACGAGCAGCTCCATCGCACTCATCCTCTACGCGGCCCTCACGGGTCGCTGGCTGGCTTTATTGTTGTCTCGAGGAATGGTTTCAGGACCGATTTTAACGTGGTCCGCACATGCGGCACTGACGGTACAGACAAAGCTGCGGGCTCCTTTTCCTAACAACATCTTCCTTCCGGCGGGCCAGGGACAATTCTACTACCTCCCTGGGACCGCCAAAAAGGCACCCCTGCAAATGCTGCCGACAAGTTGGACTGCTGTGGGGTACGGTGCACAACACAAGAGTGTACAATCTCGTAATGAACAGAGTCATCATATTGTAAGTCCTCGAATTCTAGCACGCTTTGTTTTGGGTGTTACCCATGTATGTAGCCAGCCGATACCATCGTGAGCAAGGACGAGGAGCAAAAAAAACGCACGCAAGCTTTGTGCGAGCTATCACAACGTAGCCAGCCGATTATTTCGGCAAAGGACGAGGAGCAAAAAAACGCACGCACGCTTTGTGTGTGTTCGATATCTAAATGTAGCCATCCGACAAGACGAGAAGGCCGACGAGAATAAATATATACGCACGCACGCACGCACCGCGAGGAGCTCCAGAGACACGAAGTCTCGAAGGCACGTCAGCTTGTTAATCCTGCTCCGCCAGCTTCCGCCGCCGCTGCCGCTACCCCCACCGCCGACGGCCTCCCTCTCAGGGATCCCCAGCGGCTTGTCCGACCGCCCCCGCCTCCCCCCGTTATCTCCGGCCTTTTTCGCCCGTTCCCTCCGCCGGAGCCTTCTGCCGCTGCCTCGCGGTGCGTGTTCCTCCTCGCTCGTGCCGTCGCCGTCGTCGCCGCCGCCGCCGCCGCCGCCGCCGCCGCCGAGAGCGAAATCCCGCGGTTTCCCTGCGGCGGTGGAACCGAACAATAAAGAAGAGAAAAAGCGAAACAAAAAAATAAAAAATAATAAGAAGCGGAAACAAAAAAATAACAAAAAAAAATAGCGTGTCGGTTGACGTCAGCTTGTTCCACGCTCGGTGTCAGAACAGGACACCAATAAAAAGGGGTGGGGGGGGGGTACATACTCGTCTTTGTTTTTTGTGTCTTAGGTGTTAGCCCAATGGGGGGGGGGGTATTTATATTTGATTCCGCAACAGCTAACTTTTTTCCGCCACACACCAGCGCAAAAGAAATATCTCAAAACAGGACACGAGAAAAAAAAGGTGGCGAGGCGCGTACTCATACTTGCTTTGCGTGCCTTCGTTTTTATGCCAGAGGGAGAGGGCATGTACTTGCTCGGCAACAACTGACTGGTTTTGCTGCCCCCCGCTTGTAGCGAAAGCAAGACCGGATGGGGAAACGGTGAAAACGAGGGCGGGCCGTCTCGTGCGAGAGAGATGACGGGAAACAGGAGGGGAGGCCTCCTTCCTTCCTAAAAAGAGGCGAGGGCGGCCGGGCAAGGCACGAGCAGAAGCATCGGCATGGCTGGCACGGCTGCTCCTTAATTACTGGCTGGCTGGCTGTACGTTCGTCAAACACGGAGGTGTCAAAGTAGCGGCAGCACACCTCCCTGTCCCGGCAGATATGGCCGATGGAAACGGTGCACGGAGGAGAAAAAAAAACACAAAAAAGCGGCACCTATTTTTTACGGTGAACCCTCTACATGACAGACTACTCCAAGCGAAGGGCACAGCCACAAGGTCTTCTGAAAGAGGACCCAGGGGGTCTGGATGATGGTGCCATATGGGCTTGGGTTACCCATCAGGACGTCCCCTCTAGCTAGGGTTAGCACCCAAACTCCACCCAACCCCTACCATTCCCCCCGCTCCGTCTACAATACCTCCGCTCGCATCTCGCACCTGCGTTGGCGATGAGGCACTTGTCGTAGTACACCTCCGTCCCGTCCAGCAACAGTCGCACGCATCGCCGTTCGGGTTCGATGATCAGATCGTGCGGCTGCGCTCCCCCGGAGAGGAGGAGGAGGGGGAAATGGGCACGCTACCAGTCAGGGCTAAGGTCAAGCCTACGGCTAGCCACGGGAAGGTCGTTGGAAACGAACGGCTAGGCTACGATACGGCTAGCAAGGGGACATCGTTGGAAACGAACGACTAACAGGCTACGATACGGCTGGTACCGGGAAGATCGTTGTAAACGAACGGCTAGGCTACGATACGGCTAGCAAGGGGAGCATCGTCACGCAGCATCGGCGCGGAAGAAACGACCGACCGCTCGAGCGCGAAACCCCGCCCCAACAAAGGGAACTCGAAATATTTCGAAAGAGAGACGGAACATGCCCCCCTTCCTACAAGGAGCTACTGTGCTCAACATTTTCGAACAAAAGACGGTGCATGCCCTCCTCTGTAGGCTGCTGTGTTGAACGTTTTCGAAAGAGACGGCGGTACATGCCCTCGTTCCTCTGCACAAGGGGCTGCTGTGCCGCGGTAACCGCAGCGTCACAAGAGGGTGCGGGTTCGGCCGATTGGTCGACTCGGCCCCCCCGAGACCGTGCAAGCGTTTGAGGGCGAAACGGGAAAAAACAAAAAACGACGACAACTCGGTGCGTTCGTCCTCGAGTGACCAGATTTCCTCGCACGAAAACACCCTTGCAATCCTAAAGAAGGACTCAGAAAAGGCGCGCATTGCTAGATACCGCTGTGTCGAACTCATGCTCGGTCATGTACACAATGGCCGTTCTAGACTTCTAGACCCAGCCGGCGAAGGAGATGGTATACTACACGGCAACACAAAACAAAGAACACTTACAAGTGAACAAAACAAGAGGCGCACATAAAGACACAATAGCGCAAAACACACGGTGTATGTATGCATAGCACAACACAGATTGGCACCGACCTCGTAGGTGTGATACCGTATCTCCTTGCCCTTGGACAGCCCGTAGGCCCACCTCCCCTCCCCGCCGTCCGCCCCCCTGCTGTCCCCGGTGGTGGTCCCGCCGCCGCCGCCGCCGCCGCCGCCGTTAGCAAAACCCTCTTTTCGGAAGGCGAGGTGTCTTCGCCACTGGTTGAAGGACGCCACTAGGTCCGTCTTGAGGAGTCGAAAGTCTGCCTCGTAGGAACCGGTGTGCGTGTCGCTGTCGTCCGCAGGGCACGGCTGCCGCGCCCACCACCGCAAGCCACGCGGGTGAGATGAGAGAGAGGGAGAGGGAGAGGGAGACGATAAGGGTCAAGGGTGAGAATCGACCATGCTATGTATGTACTGAAGGCGGCTGGCCAACGAAGAGGACAAAACCAGCCTCTAAACGAGGACAAACGAAAGAAACCAAGCAATATCAACGAGCAAAAATATGAGACCCCAACATACAACGGGAAGCGCGGAACAAAAAAACACAGCAAGGCAAACACTGAGGGGTGCACACACAGCACACCACAGAACACCGCCTCCGCCGCCGCCGCCGCCGGCCTCACCGTTTCGTCGCTGAGGCACAGGATCTCCGCCTCCGGCCGCATCCTCAATATAGACTCCATCGCCGCGTCCGCCGTGGTGCCGCCACCGATCACCACGAAGTGGTACCGCTCCTTCAACCGACGGCCGCCTCTGTCGTCGTCTTCGTCGTCGTCTTCGTCGTCCTCGTAGCCGTCCCACCCCCCCGCGAAACCGTCCAAGGCAGACGTTCCCTCCGCCGCCGCCTCCTCCGGGGTTAGGATGTAAAACCTGTAACTCCCTTCGGCGGGGAACTCCTCCGCCTCCCCCCCACCCCCGTCGCCGTTGGGCGGAGCCCCCCCCCCGCTGCCGCCGCCGCCACCGCCGCTGTCCGGCTCTGGGTCCGGTGGTGCTGCTGGCGCCGCCGGTGGCGGCGAGATGGTGCTGTTCTCGTCCGTCTCCTCTGGTGAGTGTTGCTCGCTATCGGGAGCAGCAGCGCTACCTGTGGCGTTTGGTTCCGTCGATGTGGTTGCTCGTCTTGCTGTCGTTGTGGTGGTGTTGTCGTTGTCGTTGTTTCGTTTCCAGTGGATGCGGTTGGTTGTTTGCTGTTGTGGTAGTGCTGTCGGCTTGGTGGTTATTATCCTTGGGTTTATCTCCACAAGCACACAAGCTTTGTCCAATCGAAGAAAAGAGAAACGGAAAGTGACGAGACCCCTTTCAGCGGTCGGGGCGCTCGCACTCTTGAGCTACACCGGTAGGCAGGACACTGGCCGCCGAACGTGACCGTCTTCGTTCGTGTGTACCGTGCAAGGTTCACCTTCACCGAGAAATACAAACAACACAGCCTCACCAACACCTTCATTCGACGCACAGCCCTCAACCTGCACAGCCAAACCGACACCCCGCCAGACAACAGTGCTACCCTCCAAGGCGTCAGCCACCCATGGCCTGAGCGGCGCTTGCCTCCTCCTCCTCCTCCACCACCACCTCCTCCTCCTTTCACCCAAGTCTCACCAACACACGGAGGCAGGCATTCGCGGGCATTCACCTGTCCTACTGGCAAGGCTGGTGTGATAGTCGTCGCCGCCATGACGTCCGCCCCTTCCCCCTTCCGCCTCCATCGCCGCAGGGTTTCCGTCGTCGGGGAGGCCTTGGGTGGCGAGGAGCAACCCCCCCATCGCCAGGATGGCTCCGACTCCCAGCCCCAACGTTGACGAAGGGTTGTCGGACCTGTGTGCGTCAAGCGAGCAAGGGCGTGATGGAGGTTGTTGCTGCTGCTGCTGCTGCTGCTGCTGTTGTTGTTGTTGTTGTTGTCGTCGTCGTCGTTGTTGCCTTCACATTCAAGACTTTTTCGGTCTCTGCTCAGGACCCTCTGGCACCCGTACGCGTTATGTGTGCATATCAAGAGTGCAAAAAAATACCCCAAGAATGAAGCGATGAGAAAACAGGCGATCGCACCGGATGATGTATTTCGCTCGCTTGATTTTCGGTAAAAACTTGTGAACTTTTACGTCCTTGTTACTGGGGATAACGTGAGAAAAAGAACCCCAGTTCGTGCGACTGCGCCGAGATTCGAATTCGCGTCGACAGGTTACCAAAGGAGCCACCGAGGAGGGGCGGCGACCAGCTGGCGAGGTCCAAGACCAAAAAATTCGGGGGGGGGATATTTCTCGCCTCGACAAGACTCTCATGTCACTGCGTGAATGCCTACATGTAGATTGCTGGTCACATAAAAAACCGTTCCGTTCTACATCCTACTAGTATTCTTGTAAATATGTACCCTGGTTGGTCCAACTGACGCGGACGGCTTTCATAGACTAACTATTACAACCCGGTTTGGGGGTACACCTTTCCAGACATGAAAGAAACGTATGCACAAAATGGACGCAGAAAAACGAAACACTTCAAACGCATTAGGCTACTAAACTTCCGGGGGAGAAGTTCGGGAGAACCTCGCCTGCGGGGAGGGAACACGAAACAAAGCGTTTTCTTTGCACCTTCGTGTAAGCATTTTGTGCAAGCAGAATTCCGCCGGAACACCATCAACAAGAGGAGTGTTGCCGTAAGTACCACTCTTTGTTCGACACCACACAGACCGGAGAGAGGACATTCGAGGAGAGCAAGCAGAGATGCGTTGGCAATGATGTAGACGAGGCTGTTGTTGTCGGCAACGATCTAAACAACGAACGAATCCACAGGTAGATCTTTCTCTCCTCTCTCTCTCTCTCTCTCTCTCTCTGTGAGTAAACTTTGGAAGCTGTGTGCATTACAAAATGCACACAGCATAACCCATGTACGTACTTCAACGTTGCTTACCATGAACAAAGTACTGCCGCACAATGAATGAACAGACGACCGCGAACGAGGATCAACAACGGCGACACGAAGCTTTGTACAGTAAGTATGCAAGCGCCAATCATCGCCAGCCGGCTACCCGCGGAGCAGTAGCCTAGACTATGCAGGACCCTCCTGGCTCGAACAAACCGTTCGGGTGTGTGTTGTGCCAACCAAAGGAGCCGCAAATATGTGCTGGTGTACGTAAGATCTCCCACCTCTCTCCACAACAAAGAGCGGAGGTCGCGCTTACCTCGAGGATTCAGGGCGCAGAGAGAGCCTCCTCATTGTCCCTCCAGTCGACCATGGCCCATAATCTTTTGCACGACAGCGAGCCTCTCCTCCCGCTGCTGCCGCTGTCAACGACGACCTCGGCACCTTTCGAGGATACTCTGCGCAATCTCTACACCTACCGATCACACCCAAGGGCCTCTGGCTGTGACCAGCCTGGCGGGCGAGCACTCGCTGGGCACCTGGAACCACCACTGCTAGCATGGCTCTCTCTTCGTGTCCGTGACGTTGTACAACAGGCAGGTGGGTTCCCCAGCAGCAGAGCTTCCCACACAACACACAACCTTCATGTTCAGGGGTTCCCGCAAATGCGATCAAGGTACACAAGCATACCGCCCAGTTTCAAGACATTCCCGTTGTGTGCCCCCCGCCCAGCGACGGTTGACGGTTGATCATTTTCCGTTCCCCGCACACACACCCAGCGAGCACACCTACACACCTACACGCCAGGGAGAGAGAGCTGCTGCTGCACACTACACATACACACACATAATTTTTTTTGAGAATCGTCGGTGAAAGAATGGCGTCCGCCGGTGGAGATGTTACCAGGAGGTGAGATGGTTTGTTGTTTTGTGGGGAGACACCAGGAAGGGGAGCTGTTTTCGTTGTTTCGGACGCGGTGGCTGTGGGTGGGTGTGCGCTGGTTCTCGGCGCTTGCTTCTTTCTCACTCTCGCCACCTCCTTGCTGCTGGCACCTCACCCGCTGATTGAGCCATCGATGCTCACCACTGCGAAGGAAGACAGGCTGGCGGCTAGCAGCAGGTCGCCGTTGTTTCGAGGCGGGCAGAGCTTGCAAGCCACAAACCCCCGACAACAGTTTTTTTGGCGCGAACGAACCACAGACCGCACCAGCCACCAGCAGCGGAGAGACCGATAAGCCAGCAAACTGGCACCACACACCGCAGTTCCCCGGCGAACCCCTATTCGCGCACGCACACGCACACGCACACACGCTTGGCCCAGTAGCTTCATTCGGCCTTGGCGTAGTTGTAGCTGCAGGAGGCCATCTACTGGATAAACCAGCGGTGTGTGCGGGCACTTGTTGCAAACCCCCCGCTTGGCGCCAGATCTGCTGTAGACTGCTGCGGTAGACTGTTGTAGACTACAGCAGTACATAGTATATATCGGGTGCCGCCTTTATTCGTCGGGGATCGGGGATGGGTGGGGTGAGCAATTGCGGGGCAGGTCCATGTGCTTTGGGTGATATTCCCTCTGACCCCACGGATGTGGCTTCTGGATTTGCTGAGATTACTGACCAAAAATGCCGTCGGGCGACATTGAACAAAACTGGGTGCATAGATTTTGCACAGAACGGTATCTGCACCGCAAGTAGTTGAGAAGTGAGTTAGACCGCCATGACAGCAGCAGCACTGCTGTACGTGCAGTACAGCAGTAGCACCGCTGTTAAGCGCGAAGTCCAACCACTGCGACGCAAAGTGCTTGTCAGCTGCAGCTGAAAGCAAACATGTACCTGTCGGAGTCAATCTTCATGACCAAAGTGTGTGTGTGCGGTACAGCAGTCAAAGCGGCAAAGGCTCACAGCAAAAAAGTCCGTTCGACTGTGGGTATATCTCGAATGGGTAGTCTTTCCGTGTGTGTTTTATTATTCCTTAATGTATATGTACCACCTCCTTGCGATCGGTACATACGTCTTGGATTCCCGCGCGATTGACCTTCAAACTTTCTCGCTTTGATTACGGAACGGCTGGGAAAAACAAAGATGCCGTAAATGTAACCTGTTGTAGTCTAAAAAATGATGATGCCCAGAGTGGAAATGGAACGACACACACGCACACCTGTCATCTATTGGTCAGCCGGCTAGCTAGCGCGGTCGATGCTAATACTTGAAGTAATAAAGACGCACACAACACACCGAAAAAGATATTGGGAGATCGATTGGTCGTGTACTGGGGAGCCCCGATCGGACTGACTGCGACATGTAGGCAGACTCTGCGGTGCGGGTACGTTATCACCATCCATGCAAGGAGCACTTGAGCTGCTCCCAATCTCTTATATGCACGAAGACCGGCGCCTGAGCTTCCTTCCCCCCACAACCGGATAGTTCGCGCCATCCTGAGAACATCTCGCCGGTGCCATGTGCCCATCGCAGTCGACGATTTACTCCCATTCACCAGAAGCACAGGTCGAGGAAAGCACTACAGCAAGCAGTACGAAAAAAAGATGGATAGTTAGTGACCCCAATAGGTGACTTGTAGTTGGTTCCGCGCAGGACATGAAGGCGAGGATCGGTCTCCCCACGAAGTCGGGTCTCATGTAAGTCACCATCGACAACCTTGCAGCGAGTGTTCTACAGCAGGAGCATCAACAAATCGATCCAAACGCCGTCAGGATCCGCCCTCGACCAGAGAACGTCTAGTAAATGGCAAACCACTGCTGTGCGGGAACTCTCAACCTGTCTACAATTGCAGCTCTACCCTCCTTTCTGCTCCTTGTTCCACGTATGGTGGTCTTGAGGCAAAATACTCCTAATCGTGATCGCAGCTGTCGCTAACCGAGGAAAACGACTCAGCCTTTCGGTAGAACCCTATGGCTAGAGGTGGGTTCGCGCGCTTTTTCCAGCTGTAAGACTGACGCGTTTTCATTGGCCAGCCAGTCAGGCCGATGCTTCACAACAAAGAAACACACACATTTTGTGTGGAGCCACCTAACTCTTCCTAGCAGAGTCGTTTTCTGTTGATTATGGATGAATTATTAGTCTTGGTCCACGTCTACCTCCTGCTACTGTTTGAATCGTTTTCTTCGGGCCGCCACGCAAGAAAAGGGAGTCGTGCCGGGCGTGTTGGCTCTATCAACACAAACGCTAGTGGATATCGCGTCCCTGTTCACCAGCGCGGCATCCGCGTTGGCTGAGAGGCTTGGTGGTGTGCTCACTCAGCCTTGTCGGGAGCCCGACGCAAATTTGACAGTTTAGTTGGCGTCCACCCTTTTTTTATTTTTTTTATTTTTTTCCAATAGAGCGCAACGAATCTATCTCTACCCATAGATGGTATTTTCGTCGCTTTCTTCGTTTCTGCGGCGGCGTGTCGCACCCCTCGTCCTAACACGCGTGCACGTCGCGTACAACAACCGGACCCCAGGCTGCAGCAGGAGCTGATGGGTATCATGATGGGCGCGGACCCCGGCGCCTCGGCATTTCCCAACGACGACAACCTGTTCGAGTGGACGGCCACGCTTTGCGGGAGCGAAGACACGGCGGTAAGACATACGGCGTGCGCAAGTATGTAAGTGAGGCGGTGTTGTGAGGAATCTCGAGGGCGCCAAGCATGCGACACGCGAAGTTTGCGCTGAGGTCTACGGCTCGCTTCCCACCCCGGGAAGCTGCCCCGAGACCCGGAATTTTTCGATAGGTTTGGGGAGGTTAGTTCCCTGTTGTAGGAAACACAGCCCTGCTCGTGGCACACGTGGTAGAAAGGTTAAATTATTTGCCTTTTCTAAGACGAAATCAGGAAAGATCGTGCCCTACTCCTGTCGCCGGCCATTGAGCCCGGAAGGGACGACCGCACTGGAAGGTACTGATCACATGCTGGCATCTAATGTATTTTTGAGATCCCGCTATGTTTGCGCAATTTTTGTGTCCGGGAACATTTCCTCCGGCATTTTGGCGTCGAAAGTCTTCCATAACATTGTCGCCCTTCGATGTCAATACATGTAGTGATCGAATGGGTCGGTTGTTCTGTTGAAGTTCCTGCCACAAAACACCCTCCGAGCTGTTGATTCTGCTTTTGTAGTCACCGTGATATTCTGGGTCTGAGACGCATTGGAGCTGCGGCAAACAGTGCGGTAATTCAATCGCTTCCCGGTTCCGTTGCCCCCCCCCCCCCCCCAACGTGAAATCGATTACACCGCGTAGTACGAAGGGTTGACGTACAAGCTCAAGCTGGTGTTCCCGGACACTTATCCGTACAAGGCACCGCTCATCACCTTCGAGACCCCCTGCTTCCACCCCAACGTGGACGAGCACGGCAACATCTGCCTCGACATCCTCAAGGAGAAGTGGTCCTCGGCCTTCAGCGTCAGCACCATCCTGCAGTCTCTCCGATCCTTGCTAGCCGGTGAGCGTTCTGTCTTGTCAAGCCGCTGCTGCTGTGTCTTCTGACCGTTTGAGGTACAGTGGAGGGCCCTGTTTACGATGGGCCCAGAGATTTCATCCACCCTGCTATGTATATCGGACACCGGCATACTAGTCAAGGGTACAGAATGACTTGGTAATTGTGTGTGTGCCCGCCGGAAACACGGGTACTACACCGGCAACCGGCACAAAACAGGGACCTCTACTGCAGGTGTCTTACCAGTTTTTTCTCCGTTTGGCTGTACGGTGAACCGCGCGGCTTGGGGGTTTGAACCGGGCTTTACGATGCGGCCGGTCATTCTCTTGCCGTCCTTCGCTGAGTGAGTCGCGGTGTAGTCTTGTTAGACCTCGAAAAGCACGCGAGGAGATCTCCCGCGCCTTACGGTCCCGAAACCCTCCTTTACCGGTCAAGTTAAGCGGGTTGCGTCGGCCTGTACGTGGGTATTACTACCCTCAACATGACCGCCCCTCTTGTGTGGTCACCGCCCGATCTAAACAAGTTGGTAAGGCGCCCGGCTTTCTATTTCCATGGCAAGAGGAACCGATCACGGGAGGTTCGAGTAAGTGGTTATACTCACGGTCCCCGGAACGGTCCCAGGGGTAGCACGTCGGTAGTGCTTGAAATTGTTCCGAATGTTGGCTTGGTTGTGTTCCATGCGTGAAAGCCACCCTTGATTGAGCACAAACCACGCCTTTTTATCCCTCTCTCTCGCGCAGACCCCAACAACGAGAGCCCCCTGAACACGGAGGCGGCGCAGCTGTGGGCGGATCAGGACAAGTACCGACAAGTTTGCAAGCAGAAGTACCAGGAGGGCGCGGGGGAAGCCTAACGATGGGTCACGTGTCGGCGTTTCCGGCCGTGTTGTCTCTCACGAGAATTGGTCCTGGCAGGCATGTGCTTGCTAGCTAGTGCTCGCCGCATTCTCCGGCAAGAGCCTGGGCGGCTTGCTCGCACCTTCGCAGATTTTTGCACCATTTCACCCCTCTTTCTCCCTAGTGTCGCCGAAGATGTGTAGTAGCAGCGGCGGCAGTGTACCAGTATAATAGGCACTTCCAACGTGCGTGATGGAGTGGAACACGACGCGTGCGTGTGTTTGACCTGTGATTCGGTACGCACCTGGTGCGTTTTATGGGTTGACACCGCTTTGCGGACAGCGGCAAGGGTCGTGTGTCCATCAAACCTTTGTCAAGTGTATCGGTATCTTGTTTGTCTGGAGAGTCGACGCGAGTGGTGTTGGCTTGTCCGAAGGCCATTGCTGCGCGTCGTGTCTTTGCCACTATCGTGTCTGGAGAGTCGTCGCGAGTGGTGTTGGCTTCGTCCGAAGGCCATTGCTGCGCGTCGTGTCTTTGCCACTATCGTTATCATGAGCAGCTTTCTGTGCGTGCCCCCAAGTTCTTCTACAGCTGGTAGTTCAGTCTGGTTGAAGAGCGTGGTCGCTTTTAAAGCCGAAAGCATCAGCGGGTGTGTTATTTTATCTTGTTGTCATGTGTGCGCGCGGGGGGGTCTCTCTTGGACGTGGATGGCGGAGGAGGAGTCTGGTAGCAATTGCTTCATGTCATGGCTGCTGTCGCTTGTATCTGTTTACTCGTTCTTCGTTTCGGTCACGCCCAGCGTCAACTTTGATTGACAACACCTAGTACTCTTGTTGGCGTTTCGCTTGATAATTTTGTGAGAATCTTTCGTTCTACATTCAGCTCGTGGGTGATAAATGGATGGTCTGACTTACCCTCGGTACAAGCCGGAGGCCATCGTTCCTCGTGTTTCTCTCTATTGAGAGCTGGACCAGTAGGTTGACCAACTGCTTCTATGATTTTTCCCGGTGTCGGCAATGTTAGTTTAGGCAGACGTTGGGGAGATTGTACCTTTATGAAAGTGGTCTCCACATTTAGGTACATAGCGGCGAAGGTCTTGGATAGACGATTGCTTGTTTTTTGAAATTGGTGGGTTCTTGGTTGTGAAGGATGGTGGAGATTGAACATGGTGCCATCAGGGGATATATATGCACAAGGCTATTTTGATAGCTTAGCTTGTACAAATCAACGAGAAAATAATGATCGCCCGACGTTTGGTGCGTGTTGCGGAAGATGTGTTGGCTGGTTTCTTGCTCAAAAGCTATGCATACGAGCGCAGTAACCATGGGTTTGTGTTCCGAAGAATCGCATGAATGTCACGTGCTCGAATATCCCGAGCGTAGGTTGTGCACCAACCAGCACAACGGGTCACCCCGGCACAATTCATTGTGTGATATTGTAACGCCGTGCCTTCTTGCTAGCAATGGGTGACGATATCCACGACGCTTTCAGCAATGGGTGATGATACACCGTACCCCCCTGCATGTAGTTCAGAGGTACAATGATGATGATAGATTGTGGACTGCTAGTCTCTACATCATCTAAGACAGAAAATATATGCGTCGCTTACACGACGTCGTGGAGCAATGCACCACGTTCATTGGGGAACTAGCCTGTAACCGCGGACGAGTCCCTTCCACGTGCATCACATTCACTCCGCACGTAGTGTCTTGCTACCTGCTACATGTTTGGCCATCTACAGTAGTACCCCCTCTGCTCTCTCTCCTCAGCCGTGTGTCTTGGTGTTGTTGTGTAGACTACTGCTGTATGCATACTTCAAGCAGAAAGTGGTATAACTTCCCAAGAAGAGCGTGCGGCGCTATAATATCGTCTCCCCAAAACCAACTACACTCCCCAAACCAAACCAATTAATTAATTAAGGAATAATAAAAACACACACAGAAAGACTACCCATTCGAGATATACCCACAGTACAAACACACCCGATATATATTGCTTGTGTTGGCAGCTTCGTCCCCCCCTCCCTGTTGCTGTGTATTCCCCCGGCCTATCCCGTCGCTACAATTGTATTGTTATTTGTGTTGGGTCCCTTCCTATACGTTTACGATAATAATGTAGACACGTGTGTACAACTGGCGCCTCTTCGTATCCAGCGGGTATTATCCTTGGACTTGTGCCACGTTTACAGTCATCGGTAAATCGTACATACTCTTTACGTGTAGTCAAGTTCTTGTTGCTAAAATGACTGGTTGTCGGTATCTTCCTGCACGCAAGTCTGAACAAAGATTCGGATGGGGATCCATTGCCATATATATGTACCTGTCTCATGAACTAACAGCAGTAGTGCATGTATTCTCTTTTGGAGGCGGGTCGTCGGCGGTATGTGAAGAAGGCACTGCATTCTTCGAAACACGTCCTCCGCCCAACAACAACCACACACTTGCAGCTTACCTCGAAGTCCACCGCGTCCGTCCACAACCACTGCTAGTTTGTTCTCGAGAAGAATCCGAAATCTTTCTCGAGAATCTTAAATCTAAGAATTCCGAGCCGAACAAGCTGCCGACTGCCGACCAGCCCGATCTCCGTAGATGGATCCAAAACCAATGACACGCCACACCAACAATCGCACAATCCTATCGAAAAAAAAAATCCACGCATACAACTTGTTTCCTCTCTCGCCCCCTCTCTCTCATTCGGCACGAAACACCTTCCACAAATCCCCGCCACCCGCTGCGCTGCGCTGCTGCTGGCAAAACATCGCACCCACCCCCTTTCCGCTACTCAAGCCCGAAGATGATGGGAGGTGAGTGAGGGGGACAAGCTCTCGCGGGATGTGGCGGTCGGCATTTGGTTGGTAATGGTCGTCTAGATAGACCACCACACAGATTTCTTGACCAATCAAGAAATCGGGAGCTTCACGTATGTTGTCGGTATGCACGCATACATACGCGATGCTGATCCCGTCGGAGACAACGGCGGGCAAAGCCTATCATCTATCGGCCATTGCGCAAGAGGCAATGCAGCAGGGGTGAACCGGAAACCATCCCGTTTGCATACCTTCTGGTGAGCACACGGAGCAAAAACATGTATAGGTGACACACTGCACCCGCCCGGCTGCTTGTACACACCAGATTTTGTAAGTTGACACGAAGCCTCTTGCGATCTCTGGTGGCGGGGAAACTTGGTCAAACAATGGTATCCATACAGTTTAATGTGAAGAAAAACAACAACAACAACAACAAATACATCCCACACCCCAGGCAGGCAGGGGGTTATCTCTAGACCCCGCGCTGGAGGCCGCCTATGTAGACCGCGGGGCGGCCGCCAGAGCTCTAGAGTCGTGAGCGCAGCATCACAGACAGCAGTTAGTTGCACCTGGGATGCGCTCATCATTTTGCACACAAGCATCAAAGCCAAGCATTTTTTGGACGCGAACAAATAAAATGACCGGCGACCCGAGAACATTTTACTGTACGACAGGGTTCTCTTCTCCCCTCTTCCCAGCTGTCGATCGGATCGCAACTTGTTACCCACCCGTTGGCCGATTGAGTGACCTCGGGCCGTGCCGGCAAACTGCTGCAACTATCAGCCTGTTGCCCCCCTTGGTCGCACACACTCATGGCGTGAAGTGCGCTCTCACGCTTGAGCGGACGGGAATTGTGTGGGCCTCTCTCTCCGGAGAGATAAAGTATGCCGAAGGACCTGTCTCAATGTATGTATGTACATGTATGCGCCTCGATGTACACCTGCTCTAAACCAACTGCCGGAGAGGCTTCACTGCTTCACTAAGTAATCGCCGTGAAACTATTTGCTGTTCCAGCCGTCGAGCGGTAGATACGTTGGACAGGTTGCGATCTCGGAAGGCTTCCCCTCCTTTTGAGCGTGCTCAAGGCGTGCTCGCCAAGAAGTTATTGCATAGATAAATAGCCGGGGGGAACTTTGGATGAAAGAACTCTCTGGCGACAGCTGTGGATCTTTGTGCCATATGTCTTGCGTGCCGAATGTGCAAACAGATGGATGGGCACATGGGCACATTCGTGACCAGGCCGGACGAACAATCCATCCAGCAAAGGAACGGTTTCTCGTCACGTGGTTGCCCACTAGTCTAGACTATAGACATTATCGTCACCCCTGTTCTTAAATAATACTTCGAACGCACGCATAGATAGGGCCGCGACAAGGCGAAAGAAGCAGTGCACTCCTCCTCCGGCCTGTTTGCCTCGCACAACTATGTAGTCTACGCCCGCAAAACTAACGAGAGTGCCAATACTACTCTCCGCCACTCGGTCTACGCTTTGGATACATAAATACGAGACATAATTCGTTCTCATTTTTATTCCTGTTGGTGTTGTTGGTGTTGATGGTGGTGGTGTTGTCGCCGCATCCATTGTTTTTGCGCAGGTCCTTGTGTACCCTTCGTTGCTGTCGCTCCCTCTTGCGCACAATACTTGCGCACAACAACACTACACACAGGAAGGGGTTGATACAGGTCTGGATGATGTCGAGTACATGTCATGTATCGGCCTGCTGTTGTTTATTTTTTGCTCCAGAACATCAACATCGGGGTATCTGTAGTTGGCCCGACCGGGGTTGATCCGTATCCATCCGTCGTGTGGTGATCCACTCACAATAATGACTGTAGGTTTTGTGTGTCTATCGTATCCGAATACTGACTGACTGGTTTGGCTTTACTGGCGGCGAGGGATGGTTGTACATTTATCACGAGAAATTAGAGAAATTAACTCATCAAAGTGTACCGCGACAGGAAAAGAAAGAAACAAGAAAATAATTTCCCTCCCTCCAGGTGCCCATCTTCCTTCCTGCGTCACCCCGGCTGGTGTCTGAAAATAATAAATAAGTAAATAATACCGGATCCCGCGCAACAAAATATATCTACGCCAGCAGCCGGACTAACGGGACGACAGAAACACCACCTTGTTTGATTCTGTCCTCGTCCAACACCCGATTTTTCGTATTGGATGATGATGGCTTTGCCAACAACCCATTCAAGAGTAACGGAGTCCACGAAGAAGACAGGCTGACATCTCTTATTATTCCATTTGGAAACAATGGGCTGGACGTCGTCGAGGTCTCGCCTGAATCCGGGGGTGTTCGCGAATGTTGCTGGTGGCAACCTCACCAGAATTTTCTCGCCGGGGGGGTCGGGCGCGTGCGGCACGTTGCCCTGCTGAAACGCAATGAATGTTCTCCAGGGCAGCGCAATCAATTAGCAGAGAGAATAGGGCAGCCGACCGAACAGAAGCAACAGTAGTTCTGTGGCCGCGCCAAGAGATGATGGTTATTTACTTGCTAAATCGATCCTCGATTCAAATGTCAGTATATTTCACGGTAGCAACCTCCCACCAACGGGTGATTTCGGGCTTTTAGCCTTCGATTCACCCGTGAATTTGTTTTATATTGTGCGTCGTGGTGCCCACAATCGGGCTTATGGCACAGGGATGCGCAATAAATGCAAGAGAGAACAGCACGGGTTGTTATTTGTTGCATTTCCGCACCGGCCGGTGTCCTGGGTATTACCGCACGCACCCTGTGCCATATCAACGATAGTCTATATAACCTGTGTAGGATGTCAAGTTTCATACTCCCCAAAGGTACCCGTATAGACTACCCTCCGGGCCACGTATTGAACTGTAGACTATGTCCCGAACGGCTGGGAGATAACAATTGAGGCGCAATCCTTCCATGTTTAGACATGGTGCCGTCGAGGTACGCGTAGAAATGAATCATCAATCGATGATTTTTTATAGAACGATCGCAACCAACCCCGTGCTACAACATTGTCACACGCACAAACAACCGCTGTATGCGATGTATCGTATTCAACCTTTCACTCGCTCGCGTCGTTCGGTGATACTCCGAAGGTTTTTCCCTCCATCGCGGCTGACTGTGAGATAGATGCGACTCCCGTTGGGGCTGCTTTGGTACAGACACCACAAACAACAATGATGTGACGCGATACGGTTATCTCCTCGCAAACAGAATAATAGTCTACAGCAGTCAACAAATTTCTTGATCGCTCTTCTGCTGTTCGTTGCTGTTTGTCTCAGCAGGGACTACGCTGTTTGCGGTGGCGGCGGCGGGCCTCCTGAATGTCGCCGTCTCGCAAGAGTTCCCCGCGATGGAGTTCGTGATCCCACTGTACATCGCTCCGATGTTCGACAATGGCACCACCGGTGAGTGCCCGATATGCCTCTAAGGGTAAGAATGATTTTTTTGCCGTGCGACTTTTCGACGTCAATCTCTTGGTTCGCCAGCGAGCAGCGCTCCTTGCAAGCATTAGTAGGAAGAAGTGCATCACGTTGTCGTACCACCTGAGGAATGTTGTCGCCGGTGGTAACGCCCACATCATCAGTCGAGAATCAAGGTGGACGTTGTTGGTTGCAGGAGCCACCAAGCAAGGCCCCTCCCCGCTCTCCCCCTCCCTCCGTCTGTACCTTGAAACGATCGACAAAGAATAATAATGTCCTCCGCGTTTAATTTTTTTACAACACTAATTCTTGAAGGACTTTTTTGACCGTTCAAGATAATAACTGAAATATCGAAGGCAGTCAATGTATGTCTTCGCAGTGAGAGGGGGAGAAACAAACCTGCCACAGAAAAAGCTGCCGCACTTGAGAACTTGGCAGTTGAGAAAATGAAGAACCCCAGCGTCTGCCAAAACTAGAGGTTCCTACGCTAAGTGCGGGCGTTTCTCCGTTTTTCCTATGCTAAGTGCGGGCGTTTCTCCGTTTTTCATATGCTAAGTTCGGGCGAGTTCTCCGTTTTTCATCAACTCTTCTTGCTTTCCGTCTTTCTTTCTCTTCTCAATCAACAATCTGTTCGGTCGGTTCAGTCACGATCGACCCGCAGTGGACGGCGCTTGCCGAGACCGCGGCGACGGGTGCGACCGTGTTCGGGATCCTCAACCCGGCGAGCGGGCCGGGTGAGGTCACCGACGCCAGCTACCCGGACGTGATCGATTACGTCAAGGGAGCGGGAGCCAAGGTGATGATGGAGACATGATGTGATGACCTGCAAGTTACGGTAGTTCGTGGTGTGGTTGTGATGATGCAGTTGTGATGACCTGAAAAAACGTGACAGCAAGTAAGTCAGTGCTTGGTGTGTTTCTTTGTTCGGAATATGATGACGTAAAATGACAAAAATTTGGACGATATTGTGTGAAGCGGCATACGGAAGAAGGCGCGGGGTCACGCGAAGGTTTCGGTTGCTGTGTACGTCGATGGAATACGTTTCGATTTTCGATATATATCAACCACCGTGCTCTCAGACGCAATAGGCAGAACGCAGACGAGTTGGGCTGGGCCCCTCTTGTCGCTGTCGGGTGTGCCAGCATGACGTGTCTTCGTGCCAACGATACTTGGAGAGAACGAGGGGGGGGGGGGT